TAGCTAGTACAATTTAAAGCTAGAAGATAAAGTTCCCTCTAAGCCAAGATTTCACATCTGAAATGTGACCAGATTTCACATTTTCAGAATCATACAAAAGCCCAAGTTCCACCACCAGTTTTCAGGTTAAGAAAACTACAAGCAAATTCAAGTGACAACAATTTCGGGAGACGTGTCTGGACCTACACTGTAATGTGAGATTTCCTTCCTTTAAGGCAGAAAGATGCCAGGTCCACACCCAGTTATGGGAATTACCTTCCTTCTACACCTCAGGGCAAGCATTACTGCTGTCAATAAAACCACCTGCAAGAAGGGCCTCTCCAAGCTTTAGTCACTTCCTAACTTGAGAATGAAAGCAAGAAATGGAGAAATGGTGGTGCTTTTCAAGGGAAGTCCCTTTTCCTTAGTTGTAGAAATGATCCTTCCTGTAGAACGCTCTTCCTAGCACCTTGAAGTTCCTTAGCTCCGCTCAGGTCAGTTTGGCTGTGAGATCTGAGCACAGACATGCACTTGATTGTTGGGTTTTCTCTTGGCTCATCGCTCACCAGTAGCACCTGCTGTTTGTTCACATGAAAATCCCCAGACTTTTAATAAAGTAGTCTAGGGAGCAGTTTCAGCATTAAAAAGGTGGTTTTGATAGTCAAAGGTGAAAAGAAATATAAAAATTTGTGTTGTTCATAGTGGTCAGAGAGTGGCCTTTGGTGTGTGCATTAGGCTCCTTTACAAAGTGCAGATTATATTAGGGCCTCAGGTCTGGCCAGTTCGTCATAACCTTGAGTGGCTCCAGGAAGTAAGCTTAGAAAATTTGGAAAGCCTCCTGGTCATTCTGACACTCTGGAGCTTGCTGGCTTCAGCATCAGGAACCGTACATGTGGAAATGGGATGCCATCGACCTTTTACTTATGCCTGTTTGTCATGACAGCTTCTTTTTTTCCTTAACATGATTCGGCCATCAAAAGAGTAGCGATGTTTTGTTTTGATTTTGGTTTTTTGTCTGTTTTTATTTTTAAGATGCTACTATGAGTTTCGAAGCATTTCCTGTTGATGGCTTTATGTTGGCTTTTACACCATGAATTCTTGGTAATCAGTAGGTTACCTGATAAGACATTAAACCAGTAGGAACTCTCAGGAGAGTTGGTAGCCAGGAAAAGGAAGGGCTCTAAACTCCACTGCCCATTTTGGCATCTCTATGCTTGCTTTCTGCACAGTCTTGGGAAATTGCTTAATTTTCCCAAGGCTCAGGTTCTCTATGTAAAATAGATGTGGAAGTGAAAGTTTAGCTTCAACATTCCTTTAGGACACAAGCAATAATATTCTGTTAAATTTCTGATAGATACGAAATAAACATTATCCATAATTATTAGAGCTGCTGAAGACCCTGTTAAAAAATGACAATGTCCCTAATAATTTGTTCTTTGATTGCAGTGAGAATGTTAGGTGTTCTGAAGCATAAAATGCCAGTCAGTTTTTCTCAGACTTGATTGCTGTGGAGCTGACTTTCGGTGCCCACAGACAATAACTCTAAAACTACTAACCATCAGCTGTAAGTATGAAGCATATAAGGAGCTTACTATTCCAACAACCGCCACGTCTCACTGAAAATATTGGAAGCTCCTTGTTTAAAGTTTACAACACTCCTTTGAGAGAGTTTGCTGTGGCTTGAAAGTCTCTGAATGTACGTGGAAATTAATCAGCACTGAAATATGTTGAAGAGGTAATAGGGGTCAGGAGGCTCTCTCTGTTTAGTGGCCTGTGTCACCAGTAGACAATGATCAAGGGAGTTTCTGATTCAGTCTGAGTTTTCTCTCTGTGGGTGTTTGCTTGTTTTCCTACCAAGAGATGATAGCAGAACAAGGAAACATTTGCATGGACTCATGAAGGACTTAAGAGTTCCTAGCCTCCAGAAGAATTTCTCTCTTTCAGTGCCAGAGTATTCAGGTACAAGATTGAGTCAGAGCTCTCAGCTTTACATCGGTCAGCATGGCTAGGAGGATCAAACATGCATGCACATTGCTTTCATCAAATGGCTTTTACTCTGTTCATTGAGGCATATTATTTTCTCCTTTCAAATGCAATGTATTGCAGTTATTACACTGTGCCTCTTAAAATGTCCAACCACAGAATAGCTTTAGGTGGGTTTTAAGAAAATATATTAAGTGATCTCTTATTTACTCATCATTTTCTTTAGCTAATATTTACTAAATACATATACTTTTAAAGCTTTGACTCTGTATCCCTAGACGTGAATAATATAATTCCCCTCACTATTAAAGAAATCCTTGTGTTAATAATTTATTTTTCCAAAGTGGTTGTACAAGTTTACATTCCCATCAGCAGTGGAGGAGGGTTCCCCTTTCTCCACATCCTCTCCAGCATGTATTGTCTTGGAGTTTTTGATCTTGGCCATTCTGATGGGTGTAAGGAGAAATCTCAGGGTCATTTTGATTTGCATTTCCCTGATGACTAAGGATATTTGGCATTTCTTTAAGTATTTCTCAGCCATGTGATTTTCCTCTATTAAAAATTCTCTGTTTACCTCTGTACCCCATTTTTTCATTGGATTACTTGATTTGTTGCTTTTTAACTTCTTGAGTTCTTCATATATCCTGGATATTAGCCCTCTGTCAGATATAGGGTTGGTGGAGATCCTTTTCCAATCTGTAGGCAGTTGTTTTGTTCTGATGACAGTGTCCTTTGCTTTACAGAAGCTTTTCAGTTTCATGAGGT